TTGTCACCCACCAGTACCCCCAAATCCTTCGCAGGGCTGCTCTCAATCTGTTCATCCCCTAGTCTGTATTGATACTGTATAAATACTTGTGGGTTGCACCCACTCAGCTGCAGGACCTTGCACCTGGCCTTGTTGAACCTCATGAGGTTCACATGGGCCCATGTCTTCCAAGGTCCCTCTGGATGGCATCCCAGCACTCAGACATGTCAACTGCATGACTCAGCTTGGTGTCATCTGCAAATGTGCAAAGGGTTCACTTGATCCCACTGTCTATGTCGTTGATGAAGATATTAAATCGTCTGGATCCCAGTAGGGACCCTTAAGGGACACCACTTGTTACTGGTTTCCACTTCCTCCCTGCCCCCACATAATCCAGATGTGGTCAGGATATGCTGGGGGAGGCTCTGCCTAATGTGGCAGCAGTGGCAGGTGAGAGCCAACACCAGCCAGGCTCAGCCCCTTATGTGGCAGTGTAGAGGGTAGTGGTAGGGTGTGTTTGGGGACTGCAGGGGACCCTGATGCCCACAGGGAGGCCAGCTGACACAGGGAAACAGTGTGCTGGTGTGCTGGCTGACCTGTGGCACTCAAGCCAAACCCTTTGCCCAGCACCTTCCCATGCAGCGCACAGCTCCCTACCTGCCAGCCAGGCTTCCTGTGATAGATAGATGGGACGAGGGATGGCAGGGTTAGGAATCCCTCAGCCTTGCAGGATACAGCCATGCCCCTGCCTTGTTAAAGAGGACAAACCCAGCAGCCAGGCTCCCTACCTTGAGAATGGGTGCCATGAAGACAGAGACCCCCGTCAGGATGAAGACAGACAGGCCGGTCAGCCTCTGCTCCCTGTGGGCAGCAGCACAGGTATCATGGGCGCTCCAGGGTCCTTCAGGAGCCTGCAGCCCCCACCTGCCCTCCTGGCCCCCAGGATCTCAGCTCTTTTCAGTTTTGATGGCCATGGGGACCGGTAGCATCCTTGGAGAGACACAAGCAGCCCCAAAGCCAGGTCTGCTGGCCAGTGTGGGCACGTCCCTGTCCCTGTCTCCACAGCCATGGGCATGGGATCCCTGCGAGTGGGGTCCAGGCTTGTTGCATACCTGATGCCCAGGAACTCGGGGTGCTCGCCAGGGGCCGAGGTTGCGCTCTCCTTCCTCAGGCTCTCCATGTGCGCCAGGGAGATGACGGTGGCCGAGACGTACCAGGGGAGGCCAGTGGCAGAGGTGATGACCATCAGGAGGGAGACACAGAGGAGGTCCAGGTGAAATCCTGCTCCTTTCTGCAATGGGAAAGACAGCAGGGCTGGGGGCGAGCTGTCTCTGCAGCAGCATCAGAGGGACAGCAGTGGGGTCTACCCACCTTGCCGGCTGGTTTGGGGTGCCACTCTCCCCATGGGGTCCAGCCAGGACCTGGGTCCTCCCCGTTGGCTGGGTCCTGCCCACCCCCTGTCCCCTGCTCACCTGCAGCTTGTACTCCCTGCGGTTTAGGATGACAGCTGTGATCTGCTGGTCCATGAAAATGAGGATGGTGACGAAGACAGCAGGCACTGCAGACAGCAGGCAGACCCACCACGGGTTGGCTCCGAAGGGGAAGACAACCCAGCCCCGCGCTGGGTTCGTGGGCTGTGGAGACCAGAAGAGTCACAGCAGCTGCCACCCACCTGTGGGGTCTGTGGTGCAGCTGGGTGATGGGACCAGCCCCAGGTGTCCCTGCTGGCACCCAGGGATGCTCCAGCTGGGGACAGGAAGAGTATTCTCTCTCATCCTGGTGATGCTCCTGGGCAGTGTGACCCATCAGCCCCTTATTGAGGACACCCCAGCTGTGGCAGAGCAGGGGGTTGCTCCTGGGCACCACAAGCCAGGAGCCGGGCACATGCTCCTGGGAGCAGGTGGAAGAGGTGGCATTGGGCACTGATGATGGCAAGCCCAAGGGGGTGGCAGGAAGCATGGGCTGCTCTGAGCTGCTGCCTGCACTGCCCCACACCCAGGGCAGGGAGCCCAAGCTTGGACTTGAGCTTGTGGCTCTCACTCCAGTGTGAGCTGTACCATCATGTAGTTAGTCCAGGATTGAGCCAGGTTATTTACAGAGCGTGGGATCGGCTGCAGTTCAACCCCTTCTTGTTTGCTGGGGTGCAGCCCGCATCGCTATAGGGCTGGACCCGGAGAAGGGAAGGACAGCAGCAGCATGGTGGGATGGCCACTGTGGGGGGCACAGACCCACTCCCGAACATCGCCATGCCCACCCCGCTGGCACCTTCAGCTCGCTTGGGATGAGGAGCTTGGGGGTCTCCAGGCCAAGAGTGGCATCAATGGCGCAGGAGGTTAGGGTGGCCAGGATGATGGCAAAGTCACTCACCAGCTTCCGCACCTGCAGATGGAGAGGATTTGGCTTGGGCTGGCTGGGGTTGGGGGTTGCCCCAGGACCACCCCTGGGTTGCAGCAGCCAGAGCCATCCCCACACCGCTGGGACAGGTGGCCATGCCACCAGGGTGGCCGAAGGATGCTCACCCCTGCAGGGAAGTAGCGGCTGCTCCTGAAGCGTTTGAGTGCAGTGCAGGAGAGGAAGGTGCCCCCGAAGAGCAGGAAGGAGATGAGGGTGACATCAGGCACATACTGGCAGCTGGTCCCCAGCAGGTGCCCGCCTTGACCGAGGCACTGGGTCCTGCTCAGCCTGGCCAGGGTGGCGGAAGGCTGTGGGGACAGGACAGGCAGCAAGGAGGGGTCACACATGGACACCTTGGGCCCACCCCAGCCCCTCGCCCACCTGCCCGGAAGGAGGGGCTGTACCTGCTGGGGGGCCAGGGGTGAGGGCTGCTTTGTGTCATTCCTTGCGGAGCTGTGACCTGCAAGGGGATGGGGGGGTCAGGGTACCAGCACCACGGGGATGCTCTATCAGGGATGACTGGGGCTGCTCTGCCATCGGGGCCGCTCCCCAGGCTCTCCCCAAGGGCTCAGGGTGCTGGATGGGGTGTCATGGGACCCCTTAGGACCCAGCACCAGCTGGTACCCAGGGAGCACCAAGGGGGGATGCCCCTGCAAAGGTCTTGGCTGATGCACCAGCCACTCAGAGGCACCATCAGCTCCAGGCTGTGCCCAACAATGATGCTTTTGGTACTCGGTGCGGGTCCTGTTTGCAGGATCAGTGTGGACACATCTTCAGGCCCCAGGAAACACCCTCTGATGAGGTGACCAGGCTAGAAACAGTAGTGCAAACCCACCCAGGTACCCATGTCCAGCCCCTGGCATCCCTCATCGCAGAGCCATGGGAGCGGGACCAAGGCTCTCCTTGCTCCCAGCGTTGCCCTGCCTAAGTGCCTGGTCAGTGCCAGGAGGCAGGGACAGATGGACAGACAGCCTGGAGGGGAGTGAAGGAAGGTGCCAATGTCGTCAGGCAGGTGAGGATGGGATTAAGCAGCCTCCTCCTCCTCCAGCACCTTCCCCCTTCTAGCCAGGCAGCAGGGTCCCAGTGGGGTTCCAGGGTAGCAGTCCCCTGCTCCCCACCAGCCCCACAGCTGCTTGGGCTCACTGGGGCTGGACAAGTTGCAGACACAGCTGTAGGAGGTGATGTTGTCCAGACGGTACTGCCAGTTAATAGGGAAGGCATCCGCCAGGCTCAGCATCTTCTTCAGGGAGTCAGAGATGAATATCAAGCTGATGAGGGCGCAGAAGCCTTCCTCGGTGAAGCGGGTGAAGTACTGCACCAGGTGACTGGCCTCAGTGGCCACCAAGACCATGCCAAAAAAGGCCACCCAGAGCCCAATCCAGAGGCGAAACTCCAGGTAGTCCAGGCTGTGGTCCCTGGTGGGAAAGTTGACCCAAAGCCTCAACAACACCACCCACCTGGCATGATGGTGGCCTGTGCCCTGCCCAGGGGACACTGGCCTAAGGAACCATCCCTGGCAGGGTACTTACTGGCTGAAGGAGAAGAGGAGGCGCTCGAAGACCAGCATGGGGCCAGTGCTGCTCAGTATGGTCAGGGGCTGGCCGGAAAAGAGGCAGAAGGTGGAACCGGCAAAGGCAGTGCCCAGGAAGCTCTCCAGCACCCCCTGAAATGTAGGGGAGTGGTGCCAGGTGCCAGGCATTTGGTGGGGATGGGGGTACTGGGCCTGTGCCCCCCAGTGGCACAGCTGAGGCAGCTGCCTGCACCTCCCTGCACACTGCAAGGTGCAGGATCAGTGCTTGGGGACCACAGATGCTGGGGAAGGACACAGGATTTGGGTGATGCTCAGGATGCCCCAGAGGCACCACTGGCTCCCCGGGCACCAGTGGGAGGTGGGCACCCGGGAGACCCATGGGCTGGGCCAAGTGGTGTTGGTGTGGGGCACCCTGCAGCTGCACCGACCTGCATGTTGGCGGTCGCGTCCCCCAGCATGCCCCCAAAGGTGATGGCATTGGTGACTGTTGCCAGGTAGATGTAGAGCACTGCTGAGAGGCACTGGGGGTGCAGGGCATCGGAGAAGTCACTTCCATACCATGGTGCCTTCCTCCGGATGTCTTGCAGCAGCCCCCCAAAAATCCTGGGGCAGCAGAGGGAGACCTCAGAGCAACCACCCCAGCCAGCCATCACCCCCTAAGAGAGCTGCAAGGCAGGTGACAGTCCCTTCCCCGGGAGACACCAGTCCAGAGTGGTTTGGATGTGGTGGCCCCATGTGCTGGGGAGAGCCAGCAGCCTGTCCCAAATTCAGCATCCTGCTGCACCTCCTACCACCCTTGTCCTTCCAGGAACCCACCTGCCTGTCCTCTCCAGCTCCTCCCCGGAGCACATGTGCCCCAGGCCAGCTCTGTTGCCAGCTGCTGCCATGTCGCCATTGCTGTGGGACTGCTGATCCAGTGGGTGCATGGTGGTCCTGTGGCAGACCAGAGCCCGAGACAACAGGCTTCAGGTTGGAGCCCTCAGGACCCAGCTGCATCTAGGGGATGCTATGAGGGGACAGAGAGGATGGAGAGGGGACGGGGTGCAAGCAGTTGCTGGGGGGACGTCAGGTATCCCCTGATAATGAGAAGGAAGAGAAAGATCAGGAGGATAAGGAAAGATGGGGGCGTGGGACTAGATGATCTTCGAAGGTCCCTTCCAACCCAACCATATCTCCTTGAGCAAGCCCTGGAGCCAGCCCTATCAGGACTGGTTTTGGTGGAGAAGCTGGGCAGAGCTGGAGGTGTCCTGTTTGGAGGATATTTCACATTCAAATGCTGAAACCTGGCGTTCCCAACAGCTCCTGCCTGAAGGGCACACAGGGTGGTTTTGCCATCCCCTGCTAAGTGGGATACCAGGACTAACAGCAGCAGGGACCACAGCTGTGGTCACTGGCTGAAGCTGTGGAGGCGCTTGGCTGGGCGGACCTCACTGGCAAGGGTTGGCTCCTGGGTGGCTTCATCCCCATGGAGGTGGAGATTTCAATGTCACAGGCAGAGGTGTCCACCTGGGACCCTGCAGAGGGGCTGGCAGAGGCTGCGGGTACCCTCACTCCAGCCTACCTCCTGTGCGGAGACGGCAGACAGCTCGGTGGAGGAATGCGGGCACTGGGGTCCCATTTCCTGGGAGGAAGCACAGTCAGCTCATCTAGGAATGCTTCCATCCCTGTGATGAGGTCCTCTCGGTGCTCAGCCTGCCAGGCAACCCTTTGGAAGAGCTGCAGGAAAATGCTGTGGTTTAGCCACCACATCCCTGTGTTCAGCCACTTGGAGCCTTCCTCCCAGCCTGCAGCCATCACTGAGAAAGGCACGCATCCACTTCAGTGGAACGGGTGCCCCTACATCCTACAGATCCACCCCAAACCTTTATTTTCTTTTTCTGGGCAAGGGAGACCACTAGCTTGCCCCATCCTCTGCCTCCCCTGCTGCAACCTGCAGAGGAGAGGACCCCCGGTGTCCTCAGCCTAGGCGTCATCCCAGGCCCATCCCACCCATGGGTGCTGCACCAGGCTCACCTCATCTGTCAGCAGCGTGGCCATGGCCCTGCCAACCTCGTGGTAGGCTTTCACTTTGTCTCGGGGACCCAGCAGAATGAAGAGGAACCTGCGGGTGAGACAGCACATCTCCTGAGCAGCCCTCTCCTTGCCAGTGGATGCTTCTCCTGGAGGAGACCATGGTGCTGCGGGGTTGCTGGGGACGGCATCTGGGAAGGCTTGGGTGGCTGCTGCTATCCTAAGGGGTGACCACCCTAAGCAAGGGGGTCGGGGGCAGAAAACAAGACGAGTGTCTGCTGCCCACTGCATGGAAACCCCACAGGAGACCGTGGGGCACCAGGACCCCGGCTGGATCACAGGGTCTGCAGAAACCCGGGCTTGGGCGGACAGAGGTCTTTGGGGCAGAAGAGGAGACATTCTCAACTGGGGAAGTCTGTGGGGTCATGTTCTCAGCTGGGGGTGTCTGTGGGGTCAGGCTCTGGGATTGGGATGTTTGTGGGGTTGAGCTCTGGGATGGGGCTGTCTGTGGGGTCAAGGTCTTGACTGGGACTGTCTGTGGGGTCATGCTCATGGGAATATTGCTCACCAGCAGGATGCAGGAATGTTAGCTTCAGGAAAGAGATCTTGCTAGCTACACAGGCAGCAGGTTTGGTAGGACTATGGGGACACGGGAGGAGACCGGAAAGAGGGCTTAGAGTCCTTGAAGAAATATGGCTAAAATCCCACACCTCAGAGGGTGCTGCAAAATAATAAAGTCTCCAGAGGGACAGCCCATCCAAATATTTAACCAATCCCTCCACTCCTTTCCAAAACTGGAAAAATGGTTACAGTCCTGGTACCCTGAGGCTGCAGAGCAGTTCCAGTGGTCGTACCCTGAGCAAACCTTTAGAGATGGGGTAGGGAAACTCCTCCAAGAGCACAGGCGGGGCTGAAGGTGGCTTGACAGAACCTGCTGCAGCCCTGACATGGAGCATCAGTGTGGGAGGCCTCCCGGAGCCTGCTCCGAGGGTTCGGGAGGTGACAGTAGCCACCTGGGATTGGTTTCACCCAGGCATCTTCATCAAGGCAATGGGAAAACCTTAAGATCCTAGAGATGGACCTGGGTGGGAGATAGCCCTGAGACAGTGGCTGCACCCGTGGGACAGCCTGGGGCGGCTGGCAGAGGGGATGGCACTATGGGCAAAGGGATGGATAGGGACAATTGCTTCTTCTCCTCCTGTTTGGGGGAGGAAAATACAGGGTAAGGGGTTGTTGTGAGCCCCTCAAGGCCTGCAGGGGCTCCCCAGGGACCTGCCACCCCATCTCCCACCAAGGAAAGAGCAGGAGGTGGATGGATATCCTGCTCCACCCAGCTCCTGGAGGACGGGTGCTCTGGGCAGAGTGACCAGGAGGTGGCAATGTCCCTCCTGATCCCTGCCTGCTTCCTCCGCATGCTCCCTAAGGAAGTCAAGGGGCACACTGACCATTTTTCCTTACTGCTTCAGATGATGCATTCCTCAGCCATGGAGAAACACCTCCTGCCCTGCTCCTTTCCCTGTATACCAACAGTGCTGCAAGAGGCACCCAACCACTCAGGAGACCATCGTGGGCAGTGGGAGGGCAAGAGGCTCCTGCAAACCTGCGCCCCTTCCCAGCTATGAGCCCCCATGCTCCTGGTCAGTAAGTGGAGAGCATCCAGACCCTCCTAAGGAGGAGAGTGAATGCAGAGCCCAGGTGGGGATAACCCAGGGGATGTCCCTCCCAGGCTGCCCAACAGATGCTCCACTCTCAGCCCGTCCCGGGATGCGCCTAAGGAGCTGGGAAAAGCAGGAGAGGAAGCAGTGAGCCAGGGCTCTGGGACTGCACATGGCATTGGGTGCTGTACCCTTTGCTTTTGCCAAGCAAAGCCTTGTCCTGTGTGGGAGGGAGCAGGGAGACAGGGACAAAGCAGGGCGCAGGGCCATCAGCTGTGCTCTGTTTACCTGCTGGGAAGAGCAACTTCGGCCAGTGAGCCGAGGGCTACCCCTCGCCTGAGGCGGATGAAGGTGGTGAAGGGCTTCTCCAGGAATTCAACTTCACCAACAGCAACATGGGCTGCTTCAGCCCCCGGTGGGACCTTTTTCTTAAATGGGTTTCTCAACTGAAAGGAAAGGCATGCAGCAGCTGGGCACTCGGGATGCAGCAGCTGCTCTCAGCCCAGCTCTGTCCTGACTTACCTGCTCATTGAGAGGCGTTTCAGAGAGCTGGGCTCTGGGCTCAGACCAGCTTTTGGCCTTCCCTGCAAAGAAAGGGAGCAAGCCGCAAAATACATCTGGAAGCAAACAGCCAGCATGGGCATTGCCCCAGGCTGGTGGCAGCAGAGGGATGCCCGGTAGGACAGCCATGTCACCACCCATGGCCAGGTGCCATGCCTACCTCGGCAGGGAGAGAGGCCAAGCTTGGCGAGGGGCCTCAGCAGGGATTTGGTGGGCTGGTGCCGTGGCTGGGAGAGCAGGAGGGCTGCCAGGCGCTCCCTCAGCTCAGGCTGCAGCTCTGCTTCCTCGGGCTGCCTGGAAAGTGCCTTGTCTGCAACAAGTGTGGGGACAGCCCTGAGTCCCCCTGGTTTGCTGCCCAGTAGGGGCCTGCCCAGGGAAAAGCCCACTTTGCTGGAGCAGCAGTCAGCCACCCCAGGTACCCAGCTATCATGCATCAGTGTTTTTATATAGGGACCTCTGTGTGGCCTGGTCCCTCTAGTGATCAGCCTGTCCCAGGAGGTGACCTTTGCATTCCCCACGTACCGATTATTTCCTTGAAACTGAGGGCATCCAGATCCAGGAGCATCGTCCCCTTCTGCAGGTACATCCTCAGCTGGAAGAGGCTGTGCAGGGGGAGGGCTGGGACATGGGGTGCACTCCAGCGCTCCCCGCCATCCTCCACCTTCTCCTCAAACTTTATCCACCTGCTCGGGGAGATGTGTGGTGTCAGCGGCAGGGTAGTCCTGTGCCGTGTGCCAGGCAGCAGGAGCTGGAGCTTGGGTCCATCTCTGAGCTTTGCATGGCGCTGGCACAGGCAGGGAGGGGTTTGGGGGACTCAGAGAGGGCTGCAGTGGGCTCACAAAGCAGGGGCAGA